GTAAAGCGACCAAAACGCTGGCTTGCATCCATAGATGCTTCTCAAGCAAATCCCGGGACGTCATTTTCCCCTTGTACTCGGCCTTAGTGAGGCCGCAGCTGGAGTACTGCATCCAGTTTTGGACTCCACAATTCAAAAAGGATGTGGAGAAGCTTGAGAGAGTCCAGAGAAGAGCCACGCGCATGATCAGAGGTCAGGGAAGCAGACCCTACGATGACCCCCAAGGGATGATGACTAGGTCGAATGGTCATAAACTACTACAAGACCATTTCAGGCTGGACATAAGGAAGAATTTCTTTACTGTCCGAGCCCCCAAGGTCTGGAACAGCCTGCCACCGGAGGTGGTTCAAGCGCCTACATTGAACACCTTCAAGAGCAAACTGGATGCTTATCTTGCTGGGATCCTATGACCCCAGCTGACTTCCTGCCCTTTGGGCAGAGGGCTGGACTCGATCTTCCGAGGTCCCTTCCAGCCCTAATGTCTATGAAATCTATGAAATAATTACCCCTTCTCCCTTACTTTCTGTTCCAGCCCCTACCTGGCCCAGTCAGGAGCTGCCGCTGCTTCTCCCTGGCCAGGCTGGGGCTAAGCTACTGTCGACTGCCTTGGAGGAGCAGAGCTGAAGCAGAAAGTCACAGCCAGGAACAGGGAGATGGGGAGGGGAGGGGAGAGCAGGGGATGGAGATGACATAAGGGGGAAGGCAGACAGGGGTGGGGGCAGGCACAGAAACAGAGGGTAAGGAGGTTGGGGGCAAGCAGCAAGGACAGGCATGGAAGGGCAGGCAGCAGAGATTACAAGGGGCAAGGGACAGGGGTCTGGCCCCTGACTCCCCACTTTGGCTTTCCCCACCACAGCATTGAGGGAATAAATTAATTAGATTCTATACATGGAACATTATAACAAATTTATAATGTTCCATGTATAGAATCCAATTATTGGGCAGCTGTCTTAAATTTTGCATCATCTTAGATTTGGGTAAATATGGTAGTTAACAAGGAACTTTTCTTATCAAGGAATAAACTTGCTCGAAGGGTGACAATCCAAAAAGCTCATTTTCAGAACCAATAACAGTTTTGATGCTAGGGTAAAACCCTATATAAAGGGCTCTAATTTTTAAAAAGAATTAAGCGAATTCCTTCAGCAGAGTCAGGAAAAGGTTTAAATTGGAAACTTACAAGTAACTAACACAGTAGCAAAAATGCCCACCATCTTGGACTTTTTGTCTTTAAAACTAAAATATTTATTTTTCCTGAATCTGAAAGGACAATGGAGCACCTCACTTTTAAGTTAGCAACTTCATTCAGATAGATCCACAGATTCTGCTGAAGGTCACAAATTCTGCTATTGGTGCCACAAAAGAGAAGTGTGCCATCTTCAAGAAATTTAAAAAGGCCTTTCCTTGATTATTTATACCAACTATAATTATAGCATTATCCATACTTACAGGTTGCTTCAAGCACTGTGCCTATAGAATTCAGTCATTCAGTTCATGTAATTGGAACAAGGATTATATAAAATATGCCTTGTAAAACTGTGGTTACCATGCCACATTCTGCCTCTGAAAAGATTGAGAACTGTGGCTATGGCAGACCTACATAGTCTAATCTTGCAGACACTGAACAGATGATCATAGAAAGTCTGCTAAGTAGTGCAAGGTGTACAAGCAAGTAAAAGTTTCTGCTACAGAATCCTTGATATTTACTCCCATAACCCAGATGCTGAATTGACTGAAGAATGCCCAAGAGAAATTGCCAAAGAAAATGGAGGGCATGAGTAAACTTCCCCTTGTTTTGTCTTTGAACACCCTCTACTTACAAAGAGAACATGAAGCACTGTTGTGTCAGGCCTGAAGATTAAAGTGCTTTCTGTCATGCCAAAATACAAAAAAAAATAAAAAATTGTTGAACTGAAACAGGTTATAGTTAAGCCAGCAAGATCTTGAGAATTCAAGATTGCCTCCGTGCCTGAGAACTGATTTCAAGGTCTCCAACCTGAATTTCTATTTGCATCCTAGAGAATGTTCATATCCAAATTTATTTTCTGACATCATAGAACTGTTGGTGAAAGTATAACAGAAACCTTTGTTAAAACAAACTTTGTGGAAATGGATTTCCAGTTAACAGGCTATTTTTAGGAATAGGTGCAGATTACCCTGGAAAAATAACAGCAATACCTTATTTGCATGGAGTGAACTCTAAGCCCACTATAGTCAATCTCTTCTTTTTGCTCAAACTCCTTCCAATCATCCTCTTCCTGTAAGAAGAGAGAAATTTTATAAGCTCATTACCACTTCCACACCATGACAAAAGTGCAAGTAGCACACAAGACTACAACATTAAAATGTATGCAAACAGAACCAATATTTACAGTCTCCTACTCATCTACTCAGCCACCTGAACTCACTAGTACATACAGTAAAATAACTTACATTGAAGTTGGGAGAAAAAAATACAGTATTAATACTTTTAACCATCATAAGCAAGATGAAAGAAGCTAAAGGTTGAATACGCTTGTAACTTGAATTCACTCAAGTTAGACTACCCATAAAAAGATACCAATTTTAGCAGATACATTAACAGATCTAATCTTTAGATCATCCAAAATATATCAGAAACAGGACCTGACCATACATCCTCCTAGATCAATGGTTCTCAATGTTTTTAGATTCAAGACAACCCTCGAAACATACCAGTACTTGGCTTTCACTCATTTTTTGACTGCAGGAAAAAACCCAGAGGAATTCTTCTGCCGCAAAGAATTCAGAAAGGCCAAAACAGGTCAGGTGGGTTTTGACACTATGGATACCTGCTCAACATCTGTAGGTTTATCTCGTGAGTCATGTGTAGGCATTTGCATACCCAACAACATTAAGATTGTGTGGCACTCCAAAGCACCCTTAAGGCTCTCATGGCAGCCTGGCTAAGAATCACTAATCTACACTCAAATTCAAGGGTTTGGTTTTCTTTAAATCTTATTTTATAGCCATAGAAAGACTTTAAAAAGTATCTTTGTGATAAGAAAAAAAATCATGCAATGTTGATCTAACTGGTTACAATGCCCCTGCTGTTGCCTAGAGTGTTACCAAGATGAAGAATAAATTTTAGACTCTAGTCAATCTTATTCTTCTTTTTCACAAGCCCATGAACAAGAGGGAAATTCATATAGGTTTTACCTTGATGCCCAAGAACTATACATAGATTTCAGGTTGATGCCCAAGAACTATACATGGATTTCAGATTAAGCAGACTGGAATTTCAATTGGAGTAGAACAAAATAAAAAGCAAGGTAAACTAAACAGAGATGATAACCACCTCACCCCTCACAGCATCCAAAAGGTTGAAAAACAGGCTGGAGATGCTAAAATGTGTTAGGACTGGTAACTAGATTCCCCCCTCCCCACCACAAAGAATGCTTTGACACACTTCCGACACCCTTTAGAGGTCTTACAATGGTGTTTAATGTCAATATAAATTATTTTTTTAGATCAAAGTAGCCAACCTGTGACGTCTGTGCCACTTGTGGCATGGGCAGCCTCTGTGTGTGACACCTGATGGATCAGGGAGGGTACAGGCAGCACAGGGGCTGATAGAGCAGGAAGCAGAAAATAGAATAGGAGGCCAGGCAGGGAGCACAGGGCTGGAAGTGGAAAGCAAAGGAGGCTGGGCAGGGAGCAGAAATCAGAACAGTAGATTGGGAAAAGGAAGGGGACCCTAGTGGCACTCAGAAGAGCACAAGGCTAATTAGTGACACCTGCTAAAAAGATTGCCCCCTCAATATTCTCCAGCAGTGGTTTTCAACCTTTGAAACCACAAGTGGGGTTTGTTCCTTAGTGATAGTCTTGAGCTCACCAGGGGAGTGCAAAGGACCTGGGAGAATAGCTAAAAAGAAGGCGGTCCGAGGGGGCACAGGGGGCAACGAATCAGGGAAATCACCCTGGGCCCTGCAGAGCTTGAAGGAGTGGTCAAGGTGACTCCACACCGCTGGCTTTGCATCCAGCTGCTCACTACCCCCCCTTCTTCCCCCTCTGCTGATGGCGGTGGCAGCTTCTTCAGGTCCAGGGAATGTGGGATCTGAGTGGTGGTGGGCACATAGGCAGATTTGCCCTGGGCCCCGCACCCTGCTCAGTTCGGCTCTGGCTAAAAACATTTCACAGAAGTATTTTTTGTAGTATTCTTAGGGGCATTAGAGAAGTGACATATTAATCTATGTGCTATATTAATCTGTTTTCAACCTGTGATCCACAAACTATGTCTAAGGGGTCCAACAAAAGATGACTATGAACAGCCAAAAACATATGAATACCCACACTTACAATTCAAAAGCGTCCGCACCTCTATTCAAAACTGTTTTGTGTCCACAAATTAAAAAAGGTGAAAACTATTGTTCTGGATGAAACATACTTTCCACATCTTTACACTGAAGAATAAAAATAAAACTCAAACTTAAATGAACCAGGAAGCAGTTGTTATCCTTGCTGCACAGAAGTGGGAATTGCAGGCTACCAGGCTACATGACTTAATAGCCAACCTTGGGCTAGGAAGCCACGCAGGTCTTGCACTCCCATGTTTCAGTCCATAAAGAAAATTCTAAAGCAAGTGCATTGGAAGGACGCCTCCCTGCCAGCCAAGTCACCCAGAGAACGGCTTCCTGTGCTCTCCAGGCCTCTACCACCCGCCATTTGCCAGACGCTGGCTCCTGATCTAAAAATGGAACCAGGCCTGATTTATTCAATCAACCAGCTATTCCGGCCCTCCTCTTGCAAACGCTGTCCTGATCTGGCCATTCGCAAAAGCTATTGTCAGGCCACATCTCTCTGGACTACAGAGGAGGCAGCCGGGGCACCAGATCCCGGTGGGTCAGAGAGCACAGCTGTGGAGCCACGTGTTGCGAGGGGGAGGGGGGGGCTGTGGAGGCCTCTTAAGGAATTTTCCTTCCCTGCAACTGCTGAAACGCAGGAGACGCAGACCCTGCCCCTGGGCCCGCCCCGAGACAGTAGATGAGAGACTGGCTGC